GGGGGGGGGAGTCGTTGAGAGAGGGGATCGTATGTGCCTTCGAGAGAAATTTGTTGGATTGGAAGAAATTTCTCCCGGTTGTTAACTTTTCGCGTGATTTTTCTTGTTTCATGTGTACTATGTATCCTCTCCCCTCCCCCTGCTCGACGGAAAATCCTTGGGTGAGAAGTTGAAACTGTGGGAAATTAGTAGGTAGGTGCTGGAGAAGGGGGGAGGTCGTACTGACACCACTATTTCGCACACCCACGATGTTGTACCAGCAAGCGGGGAAACTGTGCATCAAGAAATAGTTTCGTCTCAGTGAAACCTCAGGGAAACCTGTAAACCTAATGTGTCTTCTGCCGGCGTTTCTAGAGATGCAACTCTCAGCTTTATCATAATGAAACACGTGAACACATTTGATAGAACGAGTGCAAATTTCGAGGTACACAAAACACCACTCACCCTGCAGTAAAGCTCCTTTCCTATCAAATCATGCAGAGCAGCTCCCGTTTGAGGCAGCTGTGTAGAGAGCTGTCTAGCGATGCGGATCTCTTGTATCTACAAAAGGATAGCGTCTCACTTCCACATTTATACGTCTTAGCAAGGACTATTCCTTGATCTCAGGATCTCTGGACTCGTGTTATAAGCCCACCTTGGCGTTCAATTTAGTCTTGATGGCGTTCCAATGAGCGTTCACATCCTCCGTAGGAAGCTGTTTTGCAGCTTCATAAAGGAGCTTGACAGCTGGAAGCAGCTCCTGCACGGCGTTACCATCCGCCTGGAAAACAACACTGCACAGGGAATCCTACAACAACGGAAAGCTTCAAATTTCTGTTTTTCACACGAAGATTTCAAGTCACTTGTTTTTTAGCTCTCTAATAGAATTCACTTATTATAAATTAACCCTAGAAAGAAGGCACAGCTGGAGCTCATGCTTACGGGGATGTTGTAGTGGAATGGAGCACTCCTAACCACGGCCTTGCTGGTTTCACTTCTAGCAAATGTGGTTAAGAAAAAGCGGACAAGGTCGTTTCTCAAATGTCTGCTGCTCCTTTTAAATAACAGAGTCCAATTTCCGTAGTTTAAAGGCAAAGCCCGCGATCATTGCCATCTTAGATAGTGAATTTGGGCTTCGCATAAAGAGGACAAGGTTCAGAGTAACTCAATAGTGAAGAAAAAAGCAGAAAAAACATGCCCAATGTCCTAAATAGGACCCCATTACAATCCTGGTTTGTACGTGCATACGAT